CTCTGACTATGTCTCTGATGACGAATCCGCGACAGATATCGAAACGTCAGGCAAATAAAAGTATTGTCCCAGCGGTCGATTCGTCTTCTTCTCAATTACTTCCTGGGACTCGCATGTTCGCTTATATTGCCAAACCTTAACCTTGAGTAAAAGGCTGACCCTAACTCCAACTCTGTCCTTCAGTCTAACCTTAAACATAACCCCCATCACAGCTTTAAACCTAATTTCCCCGGGATTTGGCGCAGAGCCATATGTATTGCGAGCGGTTTCTGTTCCCATGTCCTGTTTAGGAGGCCATACAAGCGAATCTCACCCAATCTTTGTACTGCACCTAAGAAACCACCTATTTTCTGGCTTATTAGCCGTCATCAGCGAGCCGTACTCAGCTGCAGGTGCTCCCCACCGAAGCTCGAACCCGCGACAAACTGGTTAAAAGTCCAATGCCCTAAACATTGAGTCACGCGCTCCTTGTCTCATCAGTTTTCGATAGGGGATCTTAGCATTGGTAGATGGGCGCTCCCGATCGAAAACGGACAAGATAACGAGCCCGTAGCTTATCATTTAGGGCCTTGGACTTCTAATCAACAGGTCGGCAGTTCGAGCCTCGCGTACGGCAACATCCGATGGTGGGTATGGCTAACTTATGGCGGCCAATAAGTCAGAAACGATAATTACACCCTCCCCTGTCTTTGTCGGTCATGTTCTTCGGCCCATGCTAATGAGAATGCGCCCCAAGACAGAATGGAACGAATGACTCCTTTAAACTATCAGCGAACGCCCATCCACCGATGGTAGAAAATTGTGGGTAGGCAGTTTCGGCGATAGACAAGTACTACCAACAAGAGCAAAATAGACTAAATTTTTATTTTCTCTACATTTGATGTCACCAGCTATATATACTCAGGTCAGGCAGCGTTATGCTCTTCTGGTCTGTAGTCAAAAGCTTTGCCCTCGAGCTATGGATTCCGTCGCGATAGGGTCTTTTATCGACCACATGACTGTTGAACTGTCCGAGTCTAGAGTCATGACTGGTCAACAAGCCGTAACTGCCCATTGTAGACTTCTTTGTTCTTATCGGTCATGCTTAACAACTGTGGGTAAGGATAACTTATATGACTCCTTTAACGGGACATGGGAAGACACGTCACCCCGCAATGCAACTGGCTTTGCGCTCCATTCTAGAAAAACTGAGTTCAGGACTAGTGTCAAATTTAGGGTTAAAATAAGAACTAGAATAATTTGGGGTCAAGGTGAGGGTTATGTTAAGGGTAGTTTAGGATAGGCTTACTAATGCGTTTAGGAGTGCAGGTAAGGTTTGTATTAGTGTTAGGGCACCGGAATATGTACCCTTCATAGAATTTTGCGCATGACGGTTTTTGTTGCTTGGGTGGGACATTCCAATTCCCGTGTATTGTTTAAGGGGACCATATACATCCCTCTAATCAATGTGCCTGCTCGACCGCCTGTGACGACCTGGACCCGGAGCCTCAGGACAAAGTGCCTATTCAGCATAGATCACCGAACGTCGCTTCAATATGGTTATATTTACTTTACGGGTGTTCAGCCATACATTTTTCTCACCATTACCAGCGCCTACCGTCTGGTTCAATATATCTCTCCCTCTCGAGTTGAGCAGTTAAGCGTTGCCAACCCTCTAAATCCTTCCTTACATGCTAGCCTGTTTTTTTGTGACAGCCCTCGTCTATGATGATTCTGTGTTTCTCTGCTCATTAGGTCCGGTAGCTATGTCCACGTTCCGCCCAACTGGCTGTGTTACGTGGCCCCAGAGACCATCAGAGCCCTGAATATTTGTTGTGTTGACTCTGAGGCTGCTTCCGACTTGCCCTTCACTCCCGAAACGGACGTTTTTGCATTCGGGTGCGTGCTCTGCTACATTGTTTCTTCCCACTACTCAGTCGCCTTGTGCAAAAAAATTAATACATTTCAATCTCTTATTAATCTCATCAGACATATTTTCGTACACGCAATTTCCCTTCAGTTTATTAATGCGTCTTCATGTTCGTTCGTATTCGTCTTTTTTTTCTAGGACCGTTTGGTATGAACTGCTGACTTCCGAATACCCTTTTAAAGGCCTGCCCACGGAAACACTCCTCTACCTCGTCGGAAACGGCGTCAAGCCTGGCCTCGCAATGCGCTGCCCGAAAGACTTCAAAGTTCGTTTGCATACTTCTTTTGACAGTACCCACATTGCACAAGCATTCGTGGGGGGAGGGGGGGGGAAATAGTCAATTGTCTTTTTGTTGTTTGCTGAAGTTATACTGTGCGGGAAATTGGTGCTAAAAAGTGTATTAGCCGTTTTCAGCCGACCGCACA